AGATTAACACAACGAAAGTGAATTTACTTTTTTAAGCATAAATCATTTCATGTGTACAAATATTCACAGGCCAGCCCATGGAAGGACTAATTTAATTTTTTTCACAAGGCCATATGTTTAGGATTAAGTTCTAAATGTTTGGTACTAGACAATAGTACAACAGGTAGGGCACTTGCCTTGCATAATACTAGTCAGGGTTTGGTCCCCAGGATCCCAAATAGTCCCAGGAGACCTGGCAGAAATGATCCCTGAGAAAAGAGCCAGGAATGTGCCCTCAGCACATTCCCAAACCCAATATATATATATATATATATATATATATATATACATATATATATAAAATGTGGCCTCCCAAACCCAAATATATATATGTAAATAAAATGTATGAAAATATTTGGATGTAAATAAAAATCTATAAGATAGGTTGCACAAAATATAGACAAAACAGCCCATGAGTCAGCCCAGGTGTCTTCAGCGACTTGACTCCATTGACAAAAAAAAAAAAAAGGAAAATAAAACAGATGAAATACATCAAACGAAAAAAGGTTCTATATTGCAAAAGAAGCTGTCAATGTAACAAAAGCTTCTACTTGTATGAGAGAAATTGCAATTGTAATAGAGAATGAGCTAATATCTATGTTAGATAAAATATAAGCACTCTTAAAATTTATCACCACCATAAACAGCAAAGATAATAACAAACTACCATAAAAAATGGGAAATAGCTGAAGAGACTCTTTGCCAAATATAGACAGATATATAACAGTTACATGAAAAATATCTACATTTTCAGTGAATATCAGGGAATTCCAAACTAAAATTATAGTTAGATAGCATTTCACACCTGTGAGAATAAGCTAAGCAAAAAATCCAGAGAGAGTAAGATCTGGTGGTAAGATCAGGGGTGGCAATAAAGGAACTCTGATATATTTTACGTGGGAATGTAACTGGTTTAATCCCTATGTAAAGCAGTATGGATGAAAAAAATTAAATAGAATATCCTATGCTCCAGCATGGTATCTAATGCATACACAGAGATACAGACAGACAGACAGACAAACACACACACACACACACACACACACACACACACACACACACACTAATTTAAAGGTATCTGCACATTGACATTCATTGAAACACTATTTACAATAGTCAAGAACTGGAAATAACTCCAGTGCCCAATAGCAGATGAGTGGATAAATGGATAAAGAGGAACAGATACCATTGTCTTATATATCATCTATGCGGTGGAATATTAGTAAGCTAAAAGAAGACATAAGAGGTTTGTATTTTGCAATGATGTGGATTTAAGGTGGCTCAACTTAATTAGAGTAAGTAAGAAGGAGAAATACAATTATAGAAATCAAGAAAGAGGATAGACAATATCGAGTGAAAATCCTTCAACTCTGAAGCTTGAACTGAGGTCTTTTTAAGGTAGGTTTGAACAGAAGGAAAGGTTCTTATGGACAATAGGAAGAATACTGGCATGTTGGTTGAGGGTATGTTGTGGTCACAGTGCCACTCTGAAACGTAAACATTTATGCTCTTCTAAACCTATGTTACCTTAATAAAGAAAAACATATGCAAATAAATAATAGTCCCAATTATTTGCTAGGAAAATTATTCATTTGAGGTACAATAAAAAGAATATATACAAGAAAAGAAATGCTCAAGTGGTTTATGGCAATTTTATTCATTTGAGATAAGAAATACAAATGAAGTTAGAACTCATTTGTTTAAAGATGATTCAATAGGCATGATATAATAAGTAATCAACTACCAAGAATAGATTCATTAAACTCTTGGTGGAAGTCATTAGTACTACAAAATCTGGTTTTGATTGATAAAAATAATAAACATCAGCCAAAAACATACAAACTATAATGAATGGCTGGCAGTTAGAGAAATAAAACGGCAGTATGAAGTTGAAAGGCAACAATTGGTGTCTTTTATCTATAGTAAGCTTGAGAATTACTGAATTGGGCTCTCTTAGGTATTGTACTAGAGTTCATCTGAAATTTCTGGCAAAAGAAAATAAAATACCTTCTTTAGTCTTTTATTTTTACCTCAGAGTGATTAATAAATATTCTGCAGTTTAGGAAGTTTATTAGCTTCTTTGGTGTAAAAAACTCCAAATTTCCAACAGATTTCCCCAACCCCCACATAATTTCCTTTTTAGAAAGAACAAAACAGTACAGAAGGAGAAAAAATTGTTACATCATCAGTATTTCATCTTCTCTTAGCAGGCAATTATACCATGGATTAGGCATAATCTATGAAATCAATCTCCAGTATTAAGATTGTATAGAGAAAAGCAAAACATATCTAATAGAGGCAGTTATCAAAACTTTTTCAAATCATTCTCCATACTCTTACCATCTCTACCAAATTTCATTTTGCCTACACAATAAGTCTAACATAAAAAAAAACTGATGCTTCAGGGATTCCCCATTTGAGTATAATGTCATAAGATAAAGATATGGAGGGAATCTCTGTTGGTCCACATCCAACATATTAATTACTTATTCTAATATTTTGCCTCTAAATAGTAAAATAAGAATGCAAGTTAAGGACATACCTGAGACTGTGTTTGTTCTTTGTTATTGGATTAGTCCAAATTACTGTGATTTATTCCAGGCTTCTATTGTATGGGTCTAACTGCAATGACTTTTCAGTGTGATGCTATGAGTAAAACAAACAACAAACAAAATAAATGGACATAAAATTTGAAAGATTCTTCTTGGAACAAGATAAAAGAAAAATAAATCAAAATTTGGCTAAAGAAGAGTTACATTTAAAAGTTTTTGGCTTTTTGAATCAGATAAGTATGTAGCACTGTAGCACTGTCCTCCCATTGTTCATCCATTTGCTTGAGCGGGCACCAGTAACATCTCCATTGTGAGACTTGTTACTGTTCTTGGTATATTGAATTCGCCATGGGGAGCTTCCCAGGCTCTGTTGTGAGGGTGGGATACTCTCAGTAGCTTGTCAGACTTTCCGAGAGGGACAAAGGAATCAAACCCTGGTTGGCCGCGTTCAAGGCTTACCCACTGTGCTATTGCTCCTGATAAGTATAGTGTATTTAAAAGAGAATAGTGTATGAAAATGTAGGTTAAAAAGGTATATGAAAATTACAGTGTAAATGAGAAATGCAGTGTATGAATAGGGTTGTCAGCAAGTGTGAGTTTTACAAGAAAACACAGGGGTATGCGTGGGACTCCTGCTTTTGGTGGCTGAGAGCCATTCACTTGTCTGGCCCACAGACAATGAACAGATGAAGGACTCAGGGAACAGAAAAACATGACTCCAGGATGGTTGGTAGTAAACTTATTTTTCTCACCTCCCCAGATTAGTTCGATCTCTCTCCTTAGAGTTTAGTTGTCATAGTTTTGGTTGTAGTCCCTGTCATCATTGTTCCATCATCCTAGTCTCCTCGTTGACCTCAAAGTCCACTACCCCTCTTTCCACTTACAGCATAGTTATATAGAAATCATGAATGGTGGGGTACACGTAGGTCTGGTTGAACATTGTCGTAACAACAAACACATGTAAAGCCACTCTTCGAGGGAAAGTTCTAGGGGATTCACTCAAGGACAGAATCTCTTATGAGGGTTCAGCACTCCAGATTACTGGGAGATCTGCACAAGGGGGGGATTCTATTCAGTGTGTATTTCTTTATCCTTTCTTCAGCTAGTAATTTATTTAAGCAATCATAATAAATTTACTTCTTAATATATTTCTAGCTATTTTGTATTAACACAGTAAGTGATATATTAAGCTTAAAGGTTGGCTCTTCCTGGGAACATCTCACTATTTATTGCAGCCTATAGCACTCAGGCAAGGTTAGTCTTTCCTAACTCCAACAGGGTGCTTATTCAGTTACTTCTTTTCGGTTCAGTATGTAGTTTGTTCCATGACTATGTTCTTAACTTATACTTATGGTGCTTAGCTTATCTCCTTTTGGTGCCAGGGTAGCTTAGAGCTAGCCCTGGGTCCATCTAGTCCCTTTGTCGGGACCCTGATTTTGGAGTACTAGGAACTAAGGGCAACTGAGGCTTAAGTCAAGTAAATATGGTTGCCCAGGAGTAAATATTGTTTTGTAGTCAATTAACTCCCTCAACTCCCTCATTACAAAGCATAGCATGAACTGTCTTTTTGTGTGTTTACAAAAAGGATATTTCTAAACTATGCAAGTGACATAAAGGAAAGAGAAAAGCAATATAGGATTATTAGTGCTTGGTGGAATTCAGTGTGCCTTAGGGGCACTGTTGTGAGAGTAACTCAATAAACCTAAGTTCTCTATGGGTAGAGCAAGAACAAACCAATGTTACTCAATAGTTCTCTGTATTCCTATCACATATGTAGGTTCATATCAAGATATAACTATGCTCTATCCCTATTAATTAATTGAGTAGTATGACTTTGTAAGGATCACACAACACTTAAAAGAAAGAGAAGGTCTTTAAATTTTGATAACATTTTAAAAGTCACAATAAGTAAAATATTATAGACCTTAGAATGAGAATTGAAAATATTCCTTGCTGGCTGTTATTAGATTATACAGAGTGATTAGCAATGAAAAATATCACAAATGAATTTTACTGAAGCATATTTTACATACAATAAAAGACATGCACTTGAATTCATTAAGCTCAATGTGTTTTGACAATTATATAATAAAGATTTAGAGCATTATTACCACATCACACAACTACTGATCTTATTTATATCACTTCAGCTTTGCCTGTACTAAAAATAAATAGATCAATCTTACTAGAATTTCCTGATATTTGACTCACATTATATGTAGTCTCTTCCTCCTGTAGCTTGTCATTCTTTGGTTTGTCTTCTGGATTGTTTCATTTGTGTAAATATATGCAAATACACATATATTCATATCACATAAACAATTTATTTCTTTGTATTCTGAGAAGCGTTCTATTATATGCCACAGTTTGTTATTCATTAATGTGTTGATTTGTTTCTTCTTTTAAAGAATCAGATAGGAGCAATTAGGGTGTTGTGAGCCTAATTATGCAGAAATATTAATCACTAATCATTAGATATCCAGTCGTCATATTCTATCTGCCTCTAAATCGAGAAACAGGTAAAGGTCATCCTACCTGATGCTTGGTTTGATTTTCTTTACTTAAAGTTGTTGACCATTACGGAAAATGTTCCCTTTAACATATATTATCAGTGTTAATGTGTGTACACATCCATTTTATGGTTGGAAGATGTGCATTTCTTTCTTTTATGCTGGTGGTCAAATAAATCTTTGTACTCTATATGCATGAATTCCTTCAAAGTGTTAGGGCCGGTGACTTACCAATGCCTAAGGAGTTCTTTCACTATTGCCTTATCCCTAGTCATGTTCAGAGAGTCTCTGGAGCATGCCATCATCATCAATATCACTGAAAATATCTAGTCATGGGTGGTCTCTTTGGGGATACTTTGACCTTTCATATTACTAACTAGTTTTTAAGACTGTATACTGCACCATCTTTGAAAATCTGGGATTCTCTGAATTGGCTAGGTTACTGGCTAATGCATGTGTGGGCCAAAATTTTATATCTAGTCATAGAAATATTATGAAGAATGATGAGTTCATATATCTTATTCTAGTAGACAAGTTATTGAGTAAAATTCTAGATTATATGTACTGTTAATTATATTTGGATTTGCCATTGGAAAAAATTTTATGAGAAGAATAAAAAAGTTTAATATTATTTTAAATTTAAAGCTATTTTGAGGGGGATATGGTGCCGCCAGCAGGTCAATCTTTACCTGTGAGGCAAGTGCATCAGTAGACTGATGGCGCCTTCAGACTTCCAGATACCCCAAAATTGCTGCTGTGCCTTTGGCCAGACCCCAAAAACTTGGGGCAAAGTTTACCAAGAAAGTAATTGGCCAAAATTAGGTATGTGGGAGATACACCCACAAAACACCTCCAAGCTCAGCTATATAATTGGAGGCATTACCTCTCTGGTTCCTGATCAAACTGCTTAATGGCCATGATCCCAGAGACCCAGAAACAAATCTCAAAACCCAATGGCTTTTGGAAGGAATGTATCTGGTCCCTGTAGTAGATTACCGGTGCCAGGTTACCCCAGGTGGGAATAGGTTTTGTACGTTGGCCTGTTTCCCCTGGCAGTCCAGTGGCCATCATCCTCCAGAGGCCACTGGACAATCAGTTTTGGGGCTACAGTGATGAGACGTGTGGGGTCTCATGGGATGGGAGTGGAACCAGCCCTTTCCTCCTCATCCTATGAGACCTCAAGTTTCTGCCCACAAAATACCTTTCTGGCTCCTGATCAAGCTGCTTAACGGCTGTAATCCCAGAGACTCAGGAACAAATCTTGGAACCCAATGGCTTTTGGCAGAAATGCGTCCGGACCCAGCAGTAAGTTACTGTCGCCAGTCCACCTCAGAGGGGAAAGGGTGCTGTCCCTCTGCCTGCTCCCTGTAGGAGGCCCAGTAGCCACTATCCTCCAGAGGCTATTGGACAGTCAGGTTTGGGCCTGCAGTGACAAGACACGTGGGGCCTCACGGGATGGGGTTGGGGCCGGCTCTTTCCTCCCCATCCCAATGAGACCTCGAGTCGCCGCCCACAAACTGCCTTTCTGGCTCCTGATCAAGCTGCTTAATGGCTATAATCCCAGAGACTCAGGAACAAATCTTGGAATACAGAAGAGACTTGTTGTTACTGTGTTTGGCATATTGAATATGCCACTGGCAGCTTGCCAGGTTTTGCTGTGCGGGTGAGATACTCTCCGTAGTTTGCCGGGCTCTCTGAGAGGGCTGGAGGAAGCGAACTCGGGTCAGCCATGTTGACCACGTGCAAGGCAAACGCCCTGCCTGCTGTGTTATCGCTCCAAGCTATTTAGATTATGTTTAGCAGGTTTTTTCTTTTTTTGGTACAATTTTGATATCTTGCTTTTATGTAATGCTTTGTGTGTCTTGTACATAAGCAACCTGGGTTTACACTCCAGTCCCAGATGTATTACCCCAAACAACCACCAGGACTCATCCCTGAACACAGAACCAGGAGTCATCCAAGAGCAAGCCAGATGTCGTAACAAAAACACAACCCCCCCCCCATAAAAAAATAACCTTTGGAACATGGTCGCTCAAGCATTTAGTCAAATTAAAGTTTATTTGTCTATTTATTTTTTGAATTTGCATTATAGTATAATACTATAAGCTTCTGTTTTTTCATTATTAAAAATAAGTATGCTTAAGAATATTAAATTACCTATTAAAAATTCAGTTATTTTCAATATATAATTGACCCTTTATTTAAATCTAATTGCATACATTATTTTTATTATAATTATTATTGTCTCATTCCCCTGACTCTGAAACAGCCTCCAATCATTGGGAAAAGACTAAGAAGAGGTTGCTAAAATCTCAGGGCTGGAAGGAATAGAGACGTTACTGGCTGGAGTGATAGCACAGAGGATAGGGCATTTGCTATGCATGCAGCCAACCCAGGTTCAATTCCTCCACCCTTCTCAGAGAGCACTGCAAACTACCGAGAATACCTCGCCTGCACAACAAAGCCTGGCAAATTAACCGTGACATATTTGATATACCAAAAAACTATAACAGCAAGTCTTACAATTTGTTGTGAGACGTTACTGGAGCCTGCTGGAGTAAATCTATGAACAACGGGAGGAGAGTTCTAGTACTATAGTACTACTGGTGTGCCCGCTTGAGTAAATTAATGAACAATAGGATGGAAGTGATACAGTAATATAGTGGTAATTATTATTATTTTATAAACTTTTCCATTTTAAGTATTTTAAAAGAAAACATTTATTTTGGGTTTGGAATCACACCCAAATTGGGATTACTCCAAGCTCTGTGGTCAGAGATCACTCATGGCAGGTCTAGGGGACCATATTGCAGGCCCAGGGGACCATATTTTGACTGGCCAGGAATTGAACACAGGCTGGTACTATGCAAGGCAAATGCCTTAGCTGCTATATTATCTCTTAAGTATAGCAGATAATTAAGAATTTCTGTTTTCCCTAAAAATCCCTTAAATCACATTAGCAATCTCCTCCAGCTGAAGCAATCATGATCTGAAGCAAACAACCAGATAATTTATTCTTTTTTTTCCTTGCTTGCTTTTTGGGTCACACCGAGCATTGCACCCAGATTACTTCTGGCTCCGTAGTTAGGAATTACTCCTGGAGGTCTTCAGGGGAACATATGGGATTCTGGGAATCGAACTCAGGTTGGCCACATGCCAGGCAAACACCCTTTCCACTGTGCTATCACTGCAGCCCCAAAGATAATATATTCTTAAAAGTGAAACAATACAAGTTATAATAAAGTCAATTGCAGATATAAATATAAAATGCATGCTAATAATAGTGCAAAGCTAAGTGGTTGGAATCTATGTATATAGCTTTGAATATTTTACAACTAACATAAAGATGATAAAATAACTTGAACGTAGATGACATATTTTATAATTCTATTTACCCTAAAAAACCAAGAAAGCATTCTTGCAGAAACATACAACAGATCATGATTGCTTCAGCTGGAGGAGATTGACTGCTAATGTGATTTAAGGGATTTTTAGGGAAAACAGAAATTCTAAAACAAAGTAGTGTGAGGTAATCTGGTGATAACATTGTATTTGGGTGAATTGGACATTATCAGTCTATCCAAATATGTTTTGTTTTCTCTTCCTTGGAACACTCTGTGTGACTTTTTTTCCTCCCTGCCCTTTGAAACTAAGTGAGGCAATATGATCTTGACTGGTGAACAGCTTGTTTAGAACCGTCAATGTTTTACTACATCTATTGGGTCATTGAATGGGTAGGGAGAATCTCAGCAAACTTCAATGAACATGTAGTGTAAAGGCAACATGAGCCTTGTATAATAATGTTCTGGTTTGCTATTATTTTCTACTGCTGCAAAGATTCACCTTTCAATAATGTAACAAATACTTCTATAAAATCTCATTAAATGATCGGTCTCAAACTGAAAAAATTAAGCTAAGAATATCTGCATTAATTTACTAGAGCTGACCTAATAGAGCAACAAAAATTGGATGACCTAAGCAACAGAAATGAAATGTCTCAATGTTTCAGATACAGAATTTTGAGATCAAAGTGTAAGCAGAATGGGTTTTTCTGAGAACTATAGACAAGTATAGGGCTTGTAGGTGATTTGTGGCTATCTTTGATATTCCTTGGCTAATAAAAACATCATTCGAAACTCTGGCTTTATTATTCCAAAGTTTTTTTTCTTTATAACTACACCAGTCATACTAATCTAGGGGCCCAGCTTATTCCAGCATGATCTCATACTAATTAATTATGTCTAAATGACTCTTATTTTCAGAGGAGAGCATGTTCTCCATTAATGGTCACAGACTCTTCAATATAATATGGAGCAGTGTGATTTGATCAATAACAGAATTTATAGAATACAATATGAATGGATTTATAGATCAACATTTATGAATCATTAATTATCACTCAATTTTCTTTCATTCCTTATGCTAAATTTTATATTGATATCCTAGGTTATATAAACATCACATATACTATCATATTTAATATATTGTAATTTGGAACTACTATTTCCTCTCAGGTAGAAGTTTGTGAGGGATTATGCATTAAGAGGCAGAATTTAGGGAACTTAGTTTTACGTTCTATAATTATAAGGCAAAGGCTGGCTTTATAATGACATGTATATTTTTGTTATTTTTAGGGCAGACAAATAAATTTATCTATTTATTTACACTTTACCCATCAGAGCTTTGCTACATCTAATAGTGCTCGGGGGACCAGAAAGTGCCATGCCGGGATTAAACATGGAGTTCCATATGCAAGACATGTGCTCTATACCTTTGAGATACTCCCTGATATCTGTAAAACTTTGTAAAACAAGAAGCTGTGAGTTTGTGGATGGAGGAGCTTGTTCTGAGTTACTCTACCGTACCACTAGCTATGGACCACACATCCATTTTTGTACAAAACATCTCTTATTTGGACTAGACAGGTGTGAGTGAGGAAAAAGTTTGAGATTTGAATTTAATATTGATCTGACCACTAGCGTATTATGACAGTGTATTCAATTTCTATTTCTTGCTCTCAAATAGCAGAGTT